CGTTACCATAGTAACACAAAAGAATTTTCAAAATTTTACTTCATGACTTAATTCTCCACTCTTTTTATATTGATGCTTCCCAATGATGCTACAACATTTGTAAGCTTAGTTTCTTCTTCTTAACGAATTTCAAAATTTCTCCCGCATCATGCCTTAAACCGGCAGTGGACACTCCATCTAAACGAAGCTTGAGTGCCGTGAACGTAGTCTTCACAGCGCCTGCAAACTGCATTCAGGGCGCCGTGAACGTAGCCACTGCGTTTCTCCTCAGTTTTCCACGCTATAATTTAATTCAGCTCAAATTTATATCAAGACAAATAAGTGTGAAAAGTAGGCAGCAGAGAACCAAAGTAGGCATGTACTCGGTAAGATTGAAGAATACCGGACCAGCGGACTGACTTTGCCCATGTCCCAACCTTAGGAATTCATAATTTTCCCGTTTTTAATATCTCTCAAAGGAGAATCTCGGACCGGTAGATCTATTCATTAAAATTTTGGCGGTTTTGTAGTTTCGTTCGTTAAAGTCAAGCAGGGGGGTTTCAGGGTGGCTTGCCCCCCTGACCTAAAAAAAAATATGGAGGTGGGGGGGTTCAGGGGGGCATGCCCCCCTGAATTTTATCCTAATTTGATGTTTTGCAGTTAGGTTGCATCCCTGCTCTTTGTGTAGCCTTATTCAAATAGTATTTGGTCTTCAAGACTTCTGGATTTCTTCTCTGAATGTAAACAAATGGATCGTGGACTTTAACGAACCGAACTACAAGATCACCAAAATTTTGTCAGGGGGGAGACCCCCCTGAACCCCCCCTCCTCCACTCCAACCACCCGCCCCACCAACCCACTTTCTCGCGCAATAATGTACGAGTGGTCCGGTATTCTTCAATCTTCCCATGTAGCTACTCATGCACAGATGAGTAAATAAATTACAAGTAAAAAAAAACCTTCACAGCAGAGCAGTCTCGCCTCGTCAATCAGATCAGGCTACGGCTACGGACGGTTTTCTGGCGACCGTTCCGAAAATCCAACCAAGGAACGCACTCACCTGGATCGTATGAAAAGTTGCCGTCCATGGTGATCAGTTACGCCTTGCTTTTGTACGGGTGAAAGTAATGTACGAGCACCTAAGACGGCAGCTGAGCTCTGATTTTCCAAATTATAACAGGACAAGGGAACCGGGAAAGAGTGATTTTCTTGAGAATTCGGCAAAACCAGTGCAATAAGGAATGATTACTCTGGATTGATAAATCTCCCACTGACTTTCATGCGAGTTACCTTTCCTTCCTTTATAAACGATTGTCTTTCGGCAAAATTGTCAATCTTTTAGTACGACTGACAGTGAAAAAAAAAACCCTCTCTCTCTCTCTCTCTCTCTCTCTCTCTCTCTCTCTCTCTCTCTCTCTC